CCATGTAAAAGGTCACTAGAAATTACGTGTCAGCTCTTGAAGAAGAAGAAAAGAAGTAGAAGTTAGAAACTTATATTATTACAGTTAAACATTACAAGTGTAAGTTGATCTTCTTATTTGTCTTTACTCGAGTTGGGTTAGTTTGGGTTAATTTTTAAAAGGTCCCGTTAGTGGGTCAGTAGACCGAGAAAGCGGGTGGCAAAAAGGATAAGGTTCATATAGTGTTCAGGCCCTTTGTTTAGTTACCGCACCCTGTTTGTGGCGTTTTTATTATTGTTCAGTTGTTCGGTGTGTTTTTGTCTGCCTATTAAAGCACTTAAGCTAATTTTGGCTTTTATTTCGAACCGGGTTGTGAAGTTAAAATGAACAATTTTTTCGGACACAACACTATCCATCCAAGTAATCCTTATTAAACGCCTTTATCAGGGTGATTCAAAATTGGCGTAATTCCTTTTGAGAGGTGATAGAGGCTCACTTGGAGAGTACGAGAACAATTTTAAATTTTTTTTTTTCACAAATATCTAGAAGATGTTAACAGTTATTGAATTTCAACTTTGTTATTAAGCATTATTTTGGAAATGTTCCATGTTTAATTGGTAGCATATTGCAATACTTAAGCATTCAAAAAGAAAAATTACGATCTTTGCTTCCAATTACGAAAATTTTTGATATCAAAAAAATTTTCTTCTACAATTTTTTGATAAAAAACCACAGCGGCAATGATGTTTTCTGCAATTAACAGATCGTTACAATTGGATAGCCCTTGTCAACCTTAACAATAATTTGTCAAACTGGGACTTACTTTGAATTTCCTTTGACGAATTTGCGGATATGCGATTAGTTCAGGGGAAATGCTACAGTAACTTGGCAGAAGCTGGAAGAACTCACGCCAACAAAGGGCGAGGAGAGTGGTTGCAGGAAGATAGTGGACGATAGATGTTCGGGTTCCAGGCACAGAGAAACAAGTATTGGACATAACCGAATCAGGGCCATTAAGGGGCACTCAGAGCACAATAACTGACACTTTCCCAAGCACCAAATAAATCCGAGGAAGGGCTACGTTCCTACCACGTTTGTATGATACCCACAGAGTAAAACTTACTTGGGCAACTGGGGCAAACATGAGCAAAGGAAACGAGATTGCTGCGAAACTTGCTAAGACAGGCGCCAAGCAAGTGGATCTTGGAACAACACAGAAAGTACTGGGAGGAGACACCGCGACTCCATACCGCAAGGCAGTTGGTGGGACCTCCACAACCACTGCGTAAAAGTGAACTACTATATCTCAGCAGGCAAAAAATAAGGAAGATAGTGGCTTTTTTAACAGGACACGCCTCCTGCCAAAAACACCTCTTCAGGAAGGGACTGAGCAATGAACCGACCGGCGGGGGGTGTGAATGAGAGGACGAAACTACTCTACATATTATGTGTCACTGCACGTCATATGTAATAGGTAGACGAAGACTCCTGGGGCCCAATTCTCGAAACTGGGAACGGAGTTCACATGAGAAAGAAGGGCGTGGTTCTCTCGTGAAGAGAATATTGGTATTCTTGAACGCAATCGAGTGATCCCATGACGCAACGGCAGTAGAACAAGCACCAACCAACGCACCGTTCACCGGTTTTATAACCACACATTACACAATTTTTCGCGTAGGTACCCCGTTTGAAAAGTGGTGTGATTTCGACTCGAACTCGAGTAGTGAATTTCTTAAATAAACTTGACTTTTTACAGTGTTTATGAGGTAATAAGCAATTTAAGAGATTTCCTAACAGGGAGAAGAGCGGGCTTGTATGGACTTGTTCTCAATCATCTTCAAGGTAAGTTTTTGTGTTTTTGTCTTGTAGTAGAAACTATTTTAGTATTACTGAATTTACTTGTAGATGCAGAGGAACAAGAAGAAAATCCTCATCATCCAATAATACTTACGGTTAAACAATATTTTTCTAATGGGTGAACAGAGGTGAATCGAGATAATATTAAAACAATATAGAAATAGTAATTGAGTAGCCAGTTCAACAATAAATAGATTTAATTGATCATTATAAGAGTAAATGAATGAATACAGACAAATGTATGATATTTTATATGAAACATTAACAGTTTTTAAATTTACAGATATATTAAAGAAAACCAGTTTAATATTAAGGAAGGTAAATACATTTAAAAATATAATATAAGAAAAGTAAAGTCAATATTATAGAAAATCAACATTCAAATACAGTCGAAGACGCTGCTCTGTGAGAAACACTCACCTGATAAATAACTTCAAACACTAGCACACAGTAAGAGGCACTAATTGTTGCTCATAATTTTGATGTTGAATTCAAACAGGAACTAATGGTACCGCAAGATACTTTTCGGCCCAAAAATTCTAGGAATCTTAGAGGGCTCTCCGAGATTAGAACAAAAGCACTGGCCCCACAACACCCACACGTGTTCGCTTAGAAGTCCGCGGGAGGTGCTTATTCAAACGGTCTTCAGTAAAATTGCACATGTTTATGCTGATTTATTCAAGCCTATAATATATTGCTATTTACCTGGTATAACAGCTTTAAGCTTTAGCTGGTATAACATTTTTAATATTTTATTTTAAACGCCCGCCAATTTTTTGACCGTTTGATAAATCTTTGTCTCTTAATCGTAAATTTGAGTCGAATTTCTCTGATAAAGTTGTCGGCAACAACGCTTTCCATGAACGCTACTCTCATCGTTTCCTATGCATTCGAGAATACGGTTTTTGAACCATAGTAGGAACGGCGGGGAACTCGAGAATTGGGCACCTGGGAGGGTATAAAGTTCTACCAGACCAAGTCATGCGTACCGAAGATTCTCCTGGAATTCATTGAATACATAGGGATGATGAGGGAGTAAAAACTAGGGCACAATAGGACAGAAATTTCCGCGCGGCTAGGCCAAATACCACCTCGGAGGTGAGGAAACCGATTTTAGTGGTAAACAACTAATCTGGAGTTCCACACATTACAGAGCGACAGATCACCAGCTCTGGGTGTGCGTAACAGAGCATTTCCTAAACCTTACCGAGAAAAAAAAATTACGAACAAAATCAACAATCTTACATCGTTGACGGACGGACAACACAGAGACGCCGTGTTCGTATTAAGACAAATAGTCGAGAAATCGATTGAATACAACAAGCCAGCGTTTATATGTTTTGTTAATCTGACTAGAGCAGTTGACCGTGACCAGCAGAAAGACGTCCTGCTTCTCCTTTACAACAGGCAAACCCCACAAAATCTCATTAAAATCACGAACAATAAAATACGAGCGCAAATAGAAGGAGACCTCACAGAACCAATACCAGCGGGTAGCAGTATTCGCCAGGCAGACTCCCCGAGTCCTACCCTTATCAATTTAATAATGGAATAAATTGTTAGAAACGTTCGAGGGCTAAAGCGATACAAAATGGGGGATGCAGAAATAAAAATAGTGTGTTATGCTGATGATGCAGCTCTCATTGCAGAAACTTGCAAAAGAAAGATGACTTGGGGTGAAGATGATTGAAGGTTATTACACTTATTGAATCTGGCAGCCAACTCTCTAAATATAGAAATATCACCGACCAAAACAAACTGCTTAGCAACATTAAAAACCCCTCTAAGATTCAAACTGGAATTTGACGGTAGAGTAATCGCGCAGAAAATGAAATTTAACTATATTGTCCCGGAACTTTCCGGTTTTGGGGATATTGAGGCAGAGGTGAGGGAGCAAACAACAAAAGCAATTAGAATAGCTGGCTGTTTGAATGCAATATGGTGCAATAAGAGTTTGGGAATGGACATTAAATCGAGGATCTACGAAACCGTTGTGAGGTGGGTGATGACATATACCGCAGAAACTGGGCCAGAAACAGCGAAAACCAAAAGACTTTTAGAGACAGATGAGATGAAAATACTCCGTAGAATCACCCGAAAGACACTGCTTGATAGAGAGAGTAGCGAAGATGTTCGAACAGCCTGTAATGTTAAGAACATCAATGAATGGGTAGCAAACATGAAGAAAGAATGGAATGAGCACATAAGAAGGATGGACCACCGCAGACTTGTGAGAATCGCTCGCGACAACTCCCCATTGGGATGAAGAGACGTTGGGCGCCCCAGGAAACAATGGACCGACAGCCTCACCTAAGTGAACGATAATTCAACAGGCGATTCACCTAAAATAAAGAATGAATAAGAAGACAATTAAATGATGTTTTGATTCATAGCTAACCGTATCCATTGTACTTTATAATGAAGTAAACATTTCCATATTTTGTAAATAAATGTGTTTTATTTCCTAAACAAGATGGGGCGTACTTCAGTAAATACCCTTTATGTTCCAAATACGAAATACCATCACATGCTACTTGCTATTAAAGAGACAAACTTACATATTGGGAGTAATTACGATTGGTTATTGTATTTGACGCATTGCATTATTTACGTACTGTCTGTTTTATGTTGTTGTTTTTCTGTGTTTATTTAGCCGTAAAAGCCGTAAATGGCACACATTTCGAACAGTTTGGTTGGTTATTTGGTTTCTGTTGTGTTTATTGAAATAAATCTGTTCTTTTCGGAACCAAACAAATTTGAAGAAAATTATTAATAGGCCCAATCGTACATTTCTCGGTAACTGCTAAATTTAAGTATAGCATATGATAGCTGAATCATACTTATACTTCTTAACTTAAAAAGCGCAGGTGCTTGCAGTCGAAAAGAAAAAGTTGCTGGCCGTAACATATTCCTGAACACAACTCTGTATAAATTAATTTGGTATAAAAATGCACTTATAAATAAAATTTGAAGGGTCTGAGCATTTTTGCAAAAATCAGTCGTCTAAATTTAAACAAATATAGACATTCCACTTCCAAAATGAGTCCACTTCCGGAACTCAAAAAATAGCACTTGCCTAAATGTAATAGAAGTGGTGGAGAAATTCGGCTTTTATAAAAAAAAAACATTGGATTTGAGGCAAAATACTCAATAAAATCGTTTTAAACTGTTCTTATATAATATATTAGTAAAAAATAGAAATAAAAACATGATAGTAACGATCATGAATACGTTGTTTAAAAATAATGGCATTAAAGCGGATCATTCACATAAAAACTTTATCATTTAGTTTCGTAAACTTTAAACAATATCGAGCGCATTACACATTAATAAATAAATTTATTGGACAATTATCTAATCCATACACTTCACTTTCTACGGTACTGTCGCAAACTTTTTCTATGAGGCTTTCAGAAACGATAGTAGTAGTCCAATCGCGAACCGATATTTTTGGCTGGGGCGTTTCCCATGTTGCTCCAAAACGTATACACGTTTGTTACATCAGGGTATTTACCACTCGCACTTTTTTCCTGCTACCAACGTTAATATTTATTCCTTTAGTTTCCGGTAGATTTGAGAGATTACTTTGTGTTTCGGTAACTGTTTCCTTTTTTTCCTTCTGGTTAAGGACTTCTTCCCCAATTGATTTTGGTTCAGTTTTTGATTTACTTGAGACGGTTTGTTTTCCTTTTTTCTTTTGTTTTGGGACGTCCTCCATTATTTTTTTTTCGGTTTTACGTTTTGATTCAATTTTTGAGTTTACTTTTTTGTTGGGTTTTGCATCAATATTTGGTGCAGCTCCATTTTCTGATTTTTCTTCCTCTGTGTTTTTGGCAGTAGACTTTGGTTGCTTTGGAGCTTTTTGTTTTACTTTTGACTCATTGACAATCGGTTTTTCCTCCGGCTCTTTCTTGCGTGGTCTTAACACTCGCCGTTGTTCTACTGGTGAAGTTTCATCTTCTTCAGCCACCTACGTAAAATATTAAATCAGATTAATTAGATAATAGCTTTTATTTACAATTGTTATACAGGGTTGCTCATTAGTGCGTCAAAGTGCGATATCTCAGTAAATATGAAGTTTACAAGAAAATTTGTCCAACGAAAGTTTTTCACGTTTAAAA